GGCAGGGCAAAGGCGGCCCCAGGGCCGCTTGTGCCCTGCCCCCCAGTTCTTAGATCCCCCCTGGGTTTCTGATCACTGTCAATGGCAGGGGGCTTCTTCCTGCTTTCCCTTCGCCTCCCTGTATTGTGCCTACATATGCAAATTAACTGCCATCTTGTTGGCAGTTAACTGCCAATCTTAGTTGGCAGTTAATTTGCATATAGCCCTGATTAGCCAATGAAAAGGGTAGCGTCATACGCCAATTACCATTTTTCTCTTTTATTAGTATAGATAGTTGAATAATTACATGCCTAGTAAAACACAGGGTGGGGCAAAAGTAGGTTTACCGTTACTCAAGTGAAAAATTTATATATATGAAACCCTAAGTGACAGGAATGACCAGAACGACAAGTTGTTATGAGGTGTACTGCGGGGGGTGGGGCCAGCAGTCAACCTCCTGTGGCCCCTCCCCCCAGCTGGCCGGGTCCCACCCATGCACAAATTCATGCACCGGGTCTCTAGTAATTCTATAATTGCTCTGGCCAGTAGTTTGATAAGCTTCATTTTCCATGCAAGAAGAGGCCAGAGGTTCAATTCCCTGCCAAGGTACATGACCGGTTGCAGGTCTGATCCCCAGTAGGGACATGCAGGAGGCAACTGATAGATGGTTCTCCCGCATGGATGTTTCTCTCCCTGTCTCTCTCTGATCAATAAAAACATAGCTTAAAAATATGATGCAATAATCCTATCTAATAATAGACAAATAGGGTAATTAACCGTACCTCCACTACGCTTCCCATTGGCTAATCAGGGCGATATGCAAATTAACTGTCAACCAAGATGGCGGCCGGCAGCCACGCAGCTAAAGTGAACATGAGGCTAGCTTGCTCCAGTGATGGAGGAAGCCAAGGTTCCCCGCCTGCTGCATCCCGGCTCTGAGCTCCTGAAGCAAAAGCTCCAAAAGCAACAATGTTTCAATTATAGAAGCTAAACAAACCCCAGATACCTGCTTTTAGACAGCCGTGGCCACAGAGCTGGAGCGAGCAGGAGCCCGGCTCTCAGCTCCAGTGATGGCAACAAAGTTTCAATTACAGAAGCTAAACAAACCCCAGATACCTGCTTTCAGCAGGCCGTGGCCTCAGAGCTGGAGCTGGCTCTCTGCCCCAGAAACAGCAACAAAATTTCAATTATAGAAGGTAAATAAATCCCAGAATAAAGAAATAAAAATAAAGAAGCTGGGAGCTTCAGTCGCTGCCCAGCCTGAAAACGGCCCTCAGCCCCTTACCCAGACTGGCCAGGCACCCCAGTGGGGATCCCCACCCTAAAGGGGTGTGGCCAGCCTGAAAACAGCCATCAGCCCCTCATCCAGGCTGGCCAGGAACCCTAGTAGGAACCTCCACCCTGAAGGGGGTGTGACTAGCTGAAAATAGCCATCAGCCCCTCACCCAGGCTGGCCAGGCACCCCCGCAGGACCCCCACCCCGATACCG